AAGTAAAATAAAATTAAATACATCTATTTTTAAGCCCTTGTTTTTTTCTCTAGAGGTTTAGATATAACATTTGGTTCACTAAATGATACTTCCTACGGTGGTATACTTATTCGATCAATAGAAAATAAAGAAACTAAACAAATCTATGAAGGAAGTTGTTTAGTTGTTGATGCTATATTAAATTTATGTAATAGTGAAACAATCAAAGAACTCGTTGAAATAAAATTAAATAAAAATTTACATGTTTTTAATCAAAATCAATTTATCTATTTACGTTCATGCAAATCTCAAACAAATCAAGATATTATTGCTTCACCACGTGTTGGTTTAACATTAAAAGTTCCATCACTAGATCGTGAACGTTTTTTATTTCGTCCATATCGTTTTACATTAAAAAATTATTACCCAAAAAAAATGAAAATTACAGTTCTATTAGCATTAGCTGCTGAAAAATATTTTAATAATAAGAAAGAAAATTTTACTGATTATGCCAAAGAATTAGCTGCAAGTACAAAAACTCGTCAAGCAACACTTATGATTAATTTAAATGATTTACAAACCGGTTATGATATGGATATATCAAAAAAGACTTCACCATTAGTTGATTATTATAAGAAAAATTTTACAACAACAGATTTAGCTCAAGCTTATGGAATTTGGATTAAAAAATATCGAACAAATTAAATTAATTGTTTTCTTTTTATGAAATAAAATACAGATTTAAATATTTAGTCATCATCTCGTTAAAAGATTAGCATACAGAAGGTAATTGAATAAGAAATATTGTTCATCAAAAGATCAAAGAAAATACATTGTAAAAAGAGCTTTTTCTTGATTTAACGGACTGTTAAATATATATTTTTTTCGAGTACTTTTAAGCTCTTAATCTTTCGACGTTTTTCATCATATAATGATGTCGCAGGTCTACACACTTATTATTTCTGATGTTATTTTCTTTATTATTTATATACCTCGTTGTTCGTGATCTCGATATATATGTACACATGTTTTTCTTCATTTTTCGTAAGAGAAAATAAACCATGTGTACAAGTGCAGATAAATATATTAAGAGAGAGAGAAAGTTAACAAATAGTACGTCGATTTAAACTTAAAACAACGTTTTTTTAACCTTTACTGAAAGAATAATGTTTAAGAATATATTCTCATTCACTATAAGTATTATCTAACAAAGCAGGTTACGGGAGCGTACATTTTTAATCAAGTAAGTTCTTAGGAAATTATTTTTAAATTTTAATGAAAATGTCATATGGAAGATAGAACTTAATCTAAGTAATGTTTTACGTTTTACTATACTTATAAAATATTAAAATGAACAATAAAATATTTGAAAATAATTATTTATAGGCTTTTTTGAATTATTATTATTATTTTTATCTCTATAACAATCTTTTCTTTTTCTTTCAAAGGTCGTCAATTGCATATATAAAATGAGGTATTTTTTTCTTTTATGACAGGTATACACTAGACAGCTACAATCACATGCTTACTAATGCGCAACATGCATCGATTGTATATATATATATATAATCAAAATGAATTGCTCTCGTCTTATTTATTTTACGTATCATAACCCTTCTTTTTTTTTTCATTCATCATTACATATTTTTTCGTTATCATTGTCAATCATATGTGATTCAGTAGAGTGATTGCATATATTGATGATATTTTTATTGTATCTACACGTGGATAAATAAAACGTATACTAATCAGTATATATATGTAAAATATGGGCAGAATTTTATCAATCACAATAAACAAGGATTATATAGTGCACATATGATAATCACTCATCCATTAAAAATATTTCACAATAAATACGTATTTTATTTTTCATATATTGTTTTATAATCAAAGATCAAGGTAAATATTTCAGCAAAATAAGAACGAAGAAAAGTTAAAGCAATTATCGAGGGTGTATATACATAAAAATTTGAGAATCTGAAAACAGCTGTTATTTTGTATATAGATGACCTCGATATAGTACATATAGAATGTATGAAACAAACATTTAACTATATATATATATATACATGTATATATATATATCTATACGTACGCATATATATATACATTTGTTTATATCGAGGTAGTTAAAAAAAGAAGATCGCGCTTATTCTCGATGGATACAATAGCCGGAAGGAATGTAAATAGAAGAGTAGAAGAAATAATGAAGCATGACTCATGACGACGCCGACTACCATTACGGTCGTGATGGCTTGGCATACAGCCATCAGCTGTCTCTGCCGTATTCCCGTATTTTTTTTTCTTTCCATTTGCTTCAATTATTTCTGCTGCTGCTGCTTCTTTTTTTCTTCTTCTTAACAAATATTTATTTTGATAAGAATACAATATATATATATATATAGATTATTTGCTTTGTATGCATTCGAGATATATGTGTTGAATGCTGTTAATATTACATAACTTATTTGATCATCTGTTATTCAAGATGGTAATTTGTCCTCGAAATATATATATTTTTCATTCTACGCAGTTTTTATTATTTTTCCTTCCTGGCATGATTGTCTATGACCTAAATGTAATTATGCAAGCATGCCATCTTCCTTTTTCCGTCTTTTTTCTTACTCTGAAAACGACAATAATAGCAGACTTTTCTCGACGTCGAGTTCGACTATAAGGTCGCATAGCAAAGAAGACAAGACGAAGTGCTCGCACGCACACACATACACACACGAGAGAGAGAGAGCGAGAGGAGAGAGAAAAGAAAAAGGAGAAAACAAATGCGCGAGCGCATGCGGGTTGAAAAAAAAAATGCGAATAACAGCGCACTACTGGTGGGAGGGGAGTGTATGTGTAAAGGCGACGCGCGGGCAACGTAGAAGGGAAAAAAAGAAGGACATAAAACAGACCAAGAATGTGCAGTACATTCGCACACCATCATCACCACTACCAACCAACACACGTGTATGTTTCGAGGCGGACTTTTTTTTTTCTTCTATCATTCTCTTTTTTCTCTTCTTCTTACATGCGTACTAACATGAAGTTCACATATCGTCTATTTTTGTGTCTTTTTTCAGAACATAAAAGAAATTCAACAATATTCGATCTCGTCAACAACAAAATTCTGTTTTTATTCTTGACTCATGTTATTATTCTACTAACTATTATCGAACGTATTCTACAATGAAATATTTCTCGTGACAATACTCATCAAAAAAAATATATATATAAAAGGTATTTAGTTTAATCTTAATTTCTAATTCAATTCTATATCGTTAGGAAAAATTTTAACCATATATAATTTATATATTTTAAAATATAAGTACAATAAATATTCATCGCTGTTTTGTATTTATAGCTATTAATTAATGATTAGTAAATCTTTGTTTCACAATATTGTTATATTATCTTTAAAAAATATACATATCTATAGATAGCGTGTATAGTGTAATTATGCATATATAACATGAGTAATATGACTACTATTATATTTTTATTGTTGAACAAGTTGCAATAGAATAAAAATAGACTTCTGAAGATGATCAACATAATTTGTCTATCATCGTTTTTTTACTCTTATTTTACGACTTATTCTTTTCTTTTTTTGTTTCATTCAAAAGTATATATATATATAATGCACCATCTGTAGGTCATACGTTCTTATATAAAAGACGCCATTTCTATCATATTAAAAATCACATAAATGAGTCCATTTATATATGAGTTAACGTACTTAGTGTACTCTTATTCTTTTTTTTTAATATAATCGATCTTCTGATAGTTTAAGATTTTTTCTATTTGCTATTTAAGCACATGTGATTATTGACTCACGATAGTATACTGTATGAAGGCTGATAGGTTATCAATAGTAATCTAGAGGAAAAAAAAGACGAAGAAGAAGAAGAAGAAGAAGAAGAATCAACTTCATCTATGTTTACGACAAAAAAAAGAAAGAAAAAGCGAATACACGTCTGTCTATGCTTGTTACATGAGACGACATATGTGTGTGTTTGAAAGAAACAAAACATAAGAAAAAAAAGGTTTGAGAACCTCTTGTCCTTTGTCGAGAAAAAAGAAATGACTTTTAGGATGTATTTATCGGTTGATTAATAAGCAAGAATATATTTCGAAGATGCTCATCTTCTTCTTTTTGTCTCCCCTCTTCAATTTTGATTTTACTCAAATATATTTTTTCGCCCTCTAATTAGATGTTTCATTATAATATAGAATGGTATTATAAGTAAAGAACGAGTTAGATGTATTTATATAAATATAAATCTAATTTATATTCTCTTTTTTATCTGTCATATTTCTTATTTGAATGACACATAGAGACATAATAATGACGTGTTTATATATTCCTGAACTTGCTGACCTTTCTCCAACAGTTACATTTGCTAGGAAAAAATAATGTTGCATGACAAGATATTTTCTATGTTATATTTAGAATATTTTTTGTTTTTTTTAACAATTCCATATAGATAAAAATCAGATAGATTTGTGGACATAAAAAAAAGGAAAGAACGGCAAGAATTCGATGTTATGTTGTGAAATAATCGTTGAATCAATAGTTACTTTAATATATGTCCATTTCTACTTGATAAATAGGTAAAAAAAGAAATCAACATACACACATATATATATAAGTATATATGCATGAGTCAGGGACACGACTATTTACATTCGTACTTGCCAATTTTCTTTTTTCTACTCTTCTGTTTCTTTACATATTCGCATCCTCATCATCGTCATCTTGTCTTTACGGTAGGTATAGACGTGCTTGTTCTCTCTTCTATGTAATGTTTGACACGTTTACTCGCATTACTGATAAAGAAGAGACACTCATAAAAGAAAAGTAATAGTAAAAGAAAGAAAGAAAGAAAGAAAGAAAGCATCATTGATGAATTAGTTGATTACATAGAACTAATATTTTGACCTTGTAGATTAGAATATATAATATTACGAAATGTTTTTTTTGTTTTTTTAGATTGTCATCAACAAAAGTGTATTTATTTATTAAAATTTTATTATTAATAATCCTCGTTTAAAAACGAGGTTTAATATGCGAGAATGAGTTTTACATCAGACGAAGTCAATTATCTCATCTATCGTTATTTATCAGAATCAGGTATGATATATATTTATTTTTTATGATTATTTTCATTATATAGACATGCATGTTATGACCTTTGCCTTCGATTTTTTTTCTCTCTGTTTCTATTACACTTCAAGATAAATATGTGTAAAGAAGAAGAAAAAAAAAAGTAAAGAATCTTGAAAGACAAGTGTGTTTGTTCATTGGAGTAAATATATCCGAGGCAAAAAAAGTAAATTTTCAGTTATATGATAAGAAGGGAAAAAAAACTGGGTTGTGTTTTTGTTGCCACTACTACAAGTTTAATTTACTTTTTCTATTGAATTATTTATCTCAAATAGTTCTTATAATTTATTTGCCAGTTAAAGTTCACATGACGTCAATCTATAAATAGTACTTTGTAGATGTTACTTTATTGTAGCTCGATAAAACTTTTCTTTTACGTCGTTTTCTTTTTTTGTTGTTGTCATCGTCGTCATTTACGTTCTTCAGCTGCGTGCTCTTGCATACAAATTGGATTTTTTTTCTTTTTTATCCTTGTCGTCTTGCGTTTTATTGTGGCCTCGATAATGCATGTGTTTTCTGGCACAAAAAAAAAGAAAAATAGAAATGACATTGAGGTCGTACAGGGAACAAGTAACGCTCTTGACAATACTATTTTACATAGTACGACAGTCTAATAACAGGATATGTGCATAAATATATTCCATATGTGTTGACAAACATTTTGTTAAAACGACAAATCAATAACAAGAGAACGAAACCTGCGCTAGAGTACACATTGATGTTTGCTTCAGAATAAAGCAGCGTACTTCACATTCTTTTCTTTCATAACATCAAATATGTCGATAGACGACAGACAAATAACAATGACAAAAATATAATAGAAAAAAAAAAAGAAAATAACATGGTTTTTTACTTTTCTTTAGGCTTTGTTCATTCAGCTTATTTATTTGGTCTTGAAAGTCATATTGCTCATACATCAATTAATGGCAATAGTGTACCACCAGGTGCTCTTCTCTCACTTATACAGAAGGGTCTTTATTATACTGAAGCTGAATTATCTATTGGTGATGTAAGTTTGAACAGATGTCGTACGATTCTATATTTAGTATTATTTTTCAATTCACCTATTTTATTTTGTATGATAGAAGAATTTAAAAGAGAATTTTATGATTGAATTTTACTCAAAAAAGGGCGTCTGTTTTTTCTTATTTGGCTAATAAATAACACACGGTTATTTTGTTTTCTTTTGAAAACACCGTGCGGAATGGTTATCGAGACATTTCGGACGCATAATCTTTGAAAATCGGAGCAGTTGATTTAATTAATCGGCGCTCCATTGAAAAAAACAAAAATTTATTTGTTTTTGTATCTAGGATGGACAAGAACGAACATGTGATAGTCTAAGTTTAATCGATGCAGTCGTACCAGATTTCGTTGAAAATCGTCGTAAAGAACTTCAGCAACTACAACAACAACAGCAGCAACAGCAACAACAACAATCGACATCATCATCATCAACAGGACCATCGGGAAAAATCGAACCGAAATCTTCATCTCGGACTACTACTCTTTCATCGAATAATAATGATAAAGATCGATCACCGATGCCTCACCCAACAAATACATCACCACAATCCATAAATACAACATTATCTGATCGTTCGAATATAGACTCATCATCAACAAATGGTGGAGTTAATTATCCTAATTCATCAGCATCAGAATATGGATCATCATCATCATCTTTGAGACCATTTAATGCAACGCTAACAGGACGTTCACATTCACCAGCAACAGCTCAATCACATTATTCTCATAATCATCCGTCATCATCCTCTCATTCAAATACAATTCAATCATCAGCATCAACTGGAAATTTTTCTCAAATACCAAATGGAAACGATAATAATTCACATTCATCCTATACCAATAATACGAATCATATTGCTAGTAAAAATAAATTTCACTCTAATCTTTGTTTTTACTAATTCAATATCTTATTTTTAGTACCTAAACATGAACCTATGGAATATGAAACAAGTAATAGTAGTCATCATCATTCTCATTATTCAGGAAACTCGACATCGAATTCTTTAAATGTACCAACAGGTTCATTAAATAATAATAATAATAATAATAATTTAATGATGAATGGTTCTGTTGATATTCCTGCGCATCGTGTAACGGTTTTACGTGGTCATGAATCGGAAGTATTCATTTGTGCATGGAATCCTACACATGATTTATTAGCATCTGGTTCAGGAGATTCAACAGCACGTATTTGGAATTTACAAGGTTCAGGACGTGAACAAGAAATGGTTTTAAGACATTGTATTAGACGTGGTGATACTCAAGTACCAAGTAATAAAGATGTTACAAGTTTGGATTGGAATGTAAGTTTGCAAATTCATTATATATTCAAAAATTATCTTATATAAGTTAAAGATTATTTTGATGACGATCAGTTTTTAAATATATATGATCTATTGAGTATATATCGAAGACTAGCATACTGTATATATTCTGTAGATGATCTGGAAACAACTGAGTTGTAGTGATAGAATTCAGTAAATATAGAAATTAACTATATCAGTTTCAACTCTTAAAAAAATTCATGATGTTAATTTCGATATAATTTGAGTTTAAAAATTCAACTCTACTTATTCTTCCTCTTCAATTAAGAGTTATGAACTTGAATTGATTAAGTTTATCTACTAGTTGACATACCTAGTCTAATTTTCTTTATTTTTATAGCCATCGGGTACACAATTAGCTACAGGTAGCTATGATGGTTATGCTCGAATATGGTCATCTGATGGCAATCTAGCTAGTACACTTGGTCAACATAAAGGCCCCATATTTGCTTTAAAATGGAATAAAAAAGGCAATTATATATTATCAGCTGGTGTTGATCGAACAACAATTATTTGGGATGCTAATTCTGGTCATTGTGAACAACAATTTGCTTTTCATACAGCGCCAGCACTTGATGTTGATTGGCAATCGGATGTTACATTTGCATCATGTTCAACAGATCAAAAAATTCATGTCTGTCGTTTGGGTGAAACGAAACCTGTTAAAACATTCCATGGACATCAAAATGAAGTTAATGCTATTAAATGGGATCCACAAGGACGTTTACTTGCTTCATGTTCAGATGATATGACATTAAAAGTAGAAATAATAAAAAGATTATATTTTTCTTTTTAATTTTTCTTTAAAATTTCTCTAGATTTGGACTATGACAAAAGATACGCCTGTTCATAATTTACAAGCACATAATAAAGAAATTTATACTATTAAATGGAGTCCAACCGGACCTAATACAATGAATCCAAATGCTACATTACTTCTTGCTAGGTAAAAAATAGATTTATAAAGAAAGATCTTTTCTTATTTTTATATTTTCTAGTGCATCATTTGATTCAACTGTACGTTTATGGGATGTTGAACGTGGTATTTGTCAAAGTACACTTGTTAAACATTCAGAACCAGTTTATTCAGTCGCATTCAGTCCTGATGGTCGACTATTAGCAACAGGTTCATTCGATAAAGCTATTCATATTTGGGATATAGCAGTAAGTTATCTCATATATTTTCTTTGTTTATATATCTATATATAATTATATAGAGAGGTGAAATTGTGCATAGTTATCGAGGTACAGGTGGTATTTTTGAAGTTTGTTGGAACAGTCGAGGCACACGAGTAGGCGCAAGTGCGTCAGATGGAACAGTAAGTGATTTTGTTAAATTGAAATATTTCATATATACATATCTATTCTTTAATTTTTGTAAAGGTGTGCGTGCTCGATTTGCGTAAATAAATTCGAATGAACTTCAATTACCAAATAGGTTAATGTGGTGTACTTTCTTTCATTTTTACATGTTTTCTTTCTTTCTATTCATCCAAAACAAAAAAAACATAAAATACTCGTCCTTATTTGATTTTTTCGTATTGTTGTTACTTGTTGTTCTCCTACTCTTTTTTTTTTAAAAAGAAAACATATAAGAAACTATTATATCATCCCTACTACAACGATGATCTCACAGAAATAAAACACATGTTATCGTTTTTTTGTTCATCTTGCACATACATATGTATGTATTTTTTTTTGTTCATTCTTTTGTTCTATTGACTTTTGTCTATCTTGGGCCTATTGTTTGTATCTGTCTGTCAATCTTTTTTTTTTCTCTTCTTTTTCTTCTTTCGAAAACTTCAAAGCAGTGATATGTGTGTATGCGTGCGTGTCTGACTATATTTCTGTCTCGGTTTTACATGTATTTGTGTGTATGATGATGAGCTCGTGTTCCATTATAAATATTTCATTTCATACGAGCACAGAGATGACGACAAACAGAAAACAAAACATATTATTATTTTTTTACTACTATTAAGTTTCAAGGTTTACAAGTCAAAGATTTACTTTGAATAGAAAATTTATATTCGAAGACGACAACGATAATCACTATTTATTACTTAAAAATACATGGTTTGATTTTGTAATTAACTAAAGACGAGGCATTAAGTGAATGATGCATGAGGGATATACATTGAATTCAAACGTACAAGTATTAATACGTTATTCCAAAACCTATTATCATTCTTTGAACTTTTTATAAAAATATTCAATGATTCAATGTCCACGTTGAATAAATTGGACAGAGGCCGATTAAAGGAAAAGGGACGTCTTGAGGGTGTGGGTGTGGGTGTATAAGTCGTCCTTCTTTCATACTATACAGACACATCCACACTCGCCCCTGTATTTTTTTAAACTACATTCTCTTGACCGACATATGTTACGAACTCCCGATAAATGTTTTAAAAGTAAAAAGTCAATTCCGTACACTTGAACTGATTACCGGGTGTCTGGGACACCTAGTATGAAATGCCTTTGTCCCCGATTACACAGTATTTTCAGAACCAATACTAATCCGTATTTCATTGTGCGATTGATCAATAAGTAACAAGTACAACTTTAGTCAAATCAAACACACGATTGCTATTATACTTTTTAAAACTACTATAAATCGGACCAAGCCAGTAAAACAGTAAGTTTATTCTATAGTACATTCTTACGTAGACATGACCCAAACTGAAAATGTTTGGGTCATGTCTGTTCGTCCCAATAACAATTTCCATCATTGATTCGATATATCTGCGATAATTATTCCAATTACGTCGTGATTTATAAATTCCGATAATTCAATCGATACTATGTTTCAGCCTTTCTCTTATCAAACTATATTTACACAGACATTTGTAAGCATATATTTTATTTTATTTTATTTCTGTATTAAAAATGAATACAATAAAAACTATTAATAAACAATTAATTTTTTTTATTATAGTATAATTGTTTTTTTTTATATAATATTATTTGCATTCTTTTATTTTAGTTTCAATCTCTATATCCATAGCATTATCGTGTTCAACAGCATGATCTTTCAATTTCTTTAATGCTAATTCAAATTTTTCTTTCGCTTTATCATGTGTACCTTTTTTAAGTAAAGCATTTCCCCAATCAATATTCGATTGTGCAACATCAACAGCGAATTGTGGTAATAAATCTTTATCATCATTATTACAAACAACACGTACTTTAGAGAAATCTTTTGCCCATTTGCTATGACGTTCAACATCTGCACAATAAACATAGATAGCATAAAGTTGTGGTAATTCATGAAGTAATGGAACAATTCTTGATCCAAGTGAACCAGATGATACGAGAAAGACTCGTTTATTTTTACAATCATCACGTATACAGCTAACACATCTCTCTTCTTGACCTTGACACATTTCCCATTTGAATGTTCCACTAATTTTATCATAAATGTCTCTTGTTTCAACTTGTAAATCATCAAGTGTAACAAATTTAAAACCTTTAAATGTATCTAAATCAATTTCTTGTGGAGGTAATGGTTTCAATGTTTTCTTATCAGAAGATGCTGCTTGAGAGTTAGTACTAGCAGCAGTAGCAGTAGAAGTTGCAACTGTATTATTTTTTATTGATTGTATAGGTTGTATCTGTGAATTTGGACTATGCATATTATGCCCGGGATTCATGTTATAACCTGCATTCATCATTGGCATATATGCTTGATTTCCAGTTGTCATAGGCATACGAGGAAAAAGACTAGTTGCTCCAGATGCTAAACTAGCCAATTGTTGTGGTGTTGCGAATGACATTGGAATTGGTTCTGTATATAAATGACTCATATGTAGCCCTTTTGGTCTTTGTGGTACTTGTTTGTCGGACATTTCTAATAAATCTAGAATGAGAAATAAAAAGCATGAGTTTTGTGCATTGACAAAAATAAAAAGTAATGAAAAGACGAGGTCTTCATCGTGTAGCATATCAGCAAACAAGGAAAAAACCAACTATTGAAGAGAACGAAAAAAATATTTTTCCTTTTCTTTCTTTCATACGTGTGTAAAAGAAAGCGAATAAAATGTGCTTTCTTTTTCTACGAAACAATAAAGCCACATTTTATACTAACACGTTCTTTATTTTTTTTCTACAAAAACCGTTCTGTTTTCAAGACAAAATATCTTTGATCATGTGCGTAATAAATAAATACTAAGTATTGCAAAGATCTGCGTATGTATACTTGTCAAAATAAGTTTTTTTAATTAAGTAAACAAAGTTACCTGGATGGTTTTGATACAATAAAATAGTGTAACAAGCAAACTAGAGAGAAATATCCTTTTAAATATTAAAAAGAAAATTTTTTTAACTAAAACTAAAATAAAATACAAAAAACTATGTGTCACATTTTAACCTTCACTGGGACATATTGTTGATGAATGTGCTTCGTCTAACTTCTTTGTAATTCTGTCGATTAATTTAGCTGTACCATTATCACCCAACATTTTTCCTCTGTTTAATAATTTTATTGCCCATGCATAACAATTTCGTGCTTTTAATAATTCTTGTTTTTCTTTATGTTGATCACCTTTTGTTTCGACATATAATGCAATATCTCGTGTTAAACGTTCTAATAAATCATCTTGATGTTCAAGCATTGCTGATATATTCTCAGCATAATCAATTGCCCATTCAGCATGTTTGGAAATAAAACCACAAAAAATATAAATACCTTGAATTTGTGATAAGCCAACTAATTGCGGTACAACTTCTTCTCCAATAGTTCCAGATGAAATGAAGAAAATTTTTTTATGTGGATTACTATGAATATATTGTAAACCTTGTTTCGGTGTAGAAAAATATTTTAAACAATAAACTTGATCACTTAATTTTTTTAACATATCTTGATCAGCATAGAGCATACTTTCATCATCTATTTCATGTTCAGCTGGATTATTTGATTGAAGAACTTGAATATTATCATGAAATTTTGTTTTAATACTTTCATAAGTATTTTCAGCACCAATATGTTTATCTATCCAAACAGTAACATGATCAGAAAAATCACCAAAATCACGATCATTAGTATAATAGGGATTGGACCCATAAGATGGAGTTACTGGTTCAGCCATCGTAATGTTTTTAAATATAGAATGAGTATTATATGATTTGACTCTTTATATATATATATATATACCGAATAAAACTATAGAAACTATATAATTTATTTTTCTCCTTTCTTTTCAACGTTAGTTGGAAAAAACCCAGGAGTAGATGTCAGTGACAGTATTGTTTATGCGTATGTAATTGCGAGAAATGAATGTAATCAAGCATTTTGCCTATTTTTGAAATTTATTTCTACTATTATTTAAAACAAAATAAAAATAAAACCCTAGAGAAGCGGAAGTAAATGATCTTGATTATCAAGTCTATAATTATTTATTGTCTAAAAAAATATTCATATTATTAAAACTTTTGTGTGTAGTATATCACATGTATTGTGTAACCAATAATATTTTAAATATATTGTTAATCAATAGCGACATCTATTGTAACTTTCAAAAACTATGAAAAACTTTTTGATTAATGATGAAAAAAAATTTCGATTAAATAATATGATTATTAATTAATTAATTTCTAGTTTTTTCTACAATAACTAAGCAAACTTCCAATAAGAAAACTTTTATATATGAAAGTTTGATTGATTGTGTTGTTCTTTAGTTCACACAACATAAACTTTTTTCTTTTTCTTTTATATTCTTGTAGAATTGAAGTATATTTCACTCTCGTTCTCGCTCACCCATGATGACATCATCGTATCGTCGTGATCGATCACATTCACCATATAATAATAACAACAATAATGATCATGAAGAAAATGGCTGTCGTATTCATGTTGCTGATCTTTCATCGAAATGTACTAAACGTGAAATAGAAAAAGCATTTGATAAATGGCCATTAATTGAAGTATGGCATGCCAAAGCATCATGTTTTGCTTTTGTTGTTCTGCGTCATCGCGAAGATGGGCAACGAGCCATCAGCGAACTCGACGGCAGGTAATAATAAAATAAATTTCTTTTTTACTTATTTTATGGGCTTTTCATTTACTTAGATGTATTGGTGATGCACGTATTCGAGTTTCTTTAGCTCGACCACGAACACGTGGTGGTAGTGATCGAAGAAATTTTGATCCAAATATGTACGTAGACATTAACATTTTCAAAAGAGCAAGAGATATGAAAAGGACAATAATTAGCTTCCTATTTCAAAGATAATTATAGACTATGATATCATTGACTTTCTCCTGTAATATGAAAACTACTAGGATCTTTTTGAAATTAATATTTATAATAAGAAGAGTTACTAATATCATATTAGACAAAATCTACGCTATTCTAAAGATCCGAAACATAATAGAAAGTCGTGAATCATATGATTCATCGATAGTTGTACTTTGAATCTAGACACAAGTAAGTTTTTGTCCAATATAATATCTGTGAAAATGTCAGTTTTGATTTCTACCAATTACTTTTTTTTAATTATTGTCATAGTTGATTAGAGAACAAATTTATATGATTCATATTTAAGTGATTTATTTTTAGGCGATGTTATCAATGTGGTTCTCGAGGTCATTTTAGTCGAGACTGTGGTAATGATCAACGAAATTTTAAAAGAAATGAGAATGGATATCGGTAAGCTTAATATACTTAATCAATTGCATATCTAAATACTTTACGCCGGGTTTATTAGTATGATCTTAATTCGAGAAACTATTTGAAAGTAATGGATTTCTTTATCATTGGTAAAAATGAGAGCAAGGTAAAGTTTTGCTAACTAAATGCTTAATTTATTAATTAGAAAAAAATATTTCGTATTACTTATCTATATTTATTTAGATCACGTTCAGGTGATCGTCATCGTGAACGTTCATATTCACGATCTCGGTATGGAATAATACATTTTCAATGTTAATGATTATCTTTTTCGGATATTTTAGTTCTCGATCACCATTTCGGCGAGTTACTCGAGATAATCGCCGTTATAGGTAAATTACACTTTCAAAAATATCAATCATATATATTTTATTTCTGTAGTCCTCGACGAACATCATCTTATTATGAATCTCGAGAGAATGGATCTGGCTATTATACAAGGTAAAAATCTTACATAATAAAGAATAACTTAAACTAATTATAAGCTTTGCACTTGTAGTTTTTTTATCCTAAGATAAATTTCAAAATCTCGATTTAACACTGATTATTAATTGCTTTGAATTTACATATGAATCACTTTAGTTTCGAATCCATAGAAAAAATTTAATAATTTCTTTTTAGTTGTAGTCATAGGCTTACATAAGTAAAATACAATGCTGAGTAAGTTGTTACTAAAGGGAATATATTACTTTTTTTTCTTCTTCTTCTTTCAATAGAATTAATTATATAATATTTTCATCTTTTAGTCCACCTCGAATGTGATTTATATCTATGAACAATTGAATGATCTATGATTTTCTCTTCAAATGTATTACTTATTAGGCTATTTTTCTTCTTTATTATTTCAACGTGATTTGTATGTGAAGATTTCTCTCTTTTTTTTGTTGTGTCTTTGTATGCATCTTCATTCGACTTTGGCAGTTTATTTTCTCTTGTTATGCCTCTGTTCGATAGATCTATAAATTCATTTGATTAATAGTAATTATGTCTTTATTTCAGTATTTTTTTGAATTAAAAAGAAAGAAAAGAAAATGCCTCGAACAACAAGAAGTGAATCATCATCATCATCACGACGTTCTCGTTCACCTTTATCTGAACATGAAAGTAGTAGTGAACGAACAAATGAATATCGTGTACATATCGCTGAATTAAAACCAGGTGTACAAGAAAATGATATACGTAAAATGTTTCAACGATATGGTACACTTCTTGATGTATGGGTTGCTAGTGCATCGTGTTTTGCATTTGTTGTTTTTAAATATAAAGAAGATGCACAAAAAGCTATTGATCAAATGGATGGAAGGTATGATATGACAGAATAATTTCTCACGACACATTATTATTATTATTATTGGATTCAGATCATATGGAGATAATCGATTAAAAGTAACATGGGCTCGACCAAGAACTCGACATCGTTCTAATCGTCATGATCCAAATATGCGATGTTATAAATGTGGACAACGAGGACATTTTAGGTAAAAGATTTTTATTCGTATATTTAGATGGTTATATATTCTTATTTAAATTTAGTCGTGAATGTGATGGTCAAATGCTTGATGGACGTGGACCAAGACGTCGTGAGGTCGATTTTGGTCGATACCCACCATCAAACTATGATCGTTTTCCGAGGTATGATTGGTTACTAATATTGAATGACAACAAGTCTATATAAATTGGATCATAATATACATCTATAGCTGGTGTTACATAATCTTTGTATAAATCCTTTTGGATATGTAACAAATTCTGAAGAAAGCGAAACCTAGGATAGATAAAAAGAAAATATGAAATTTATAAGTATCTATGCATGATGTAAAACATAAAAAAAAACTTTTCTTGGGAAATGGTTGTATTGGACCGTATTTGATATTTTGGAAAAGAGATATTTATATATGAATAACGATGGATTTGGATTCATATGGAACTTTAGGTCACGTTCACCGCAACCACTACCACCACCAACATACTTTCGTCATGGAATGCCAATGTATCCAGCATTTACACGACGATATGATCCATATTTAGATGGTTATTTTCCACCACCAGAACGATCGGGTGGTCATGAATATCGTTTTAGAGAACGTGGTACACGATTAACACCACCATCAGCAAGTGCCAGATATAATCGCCGGTAATTAGAAAAAAAAAGACGACAATTACTAAACTTTTTCTTTATTTGAAATCGTAGATGAATATTTTTTGAAAAATTTAATTTAACTACTCCATTTTATTCAAAAGAAAACTTTCGTAAGTTTTTGGATGAAACAAACACAGTTTGGTTTTTTGCTCATTGTAATAAATTTAGACAAAAAAAATACATTTAATGGCCAATATATATATATCCGTGATATATTTGATATTATTAATCCAGAACTTATGTCATTTCCTTTTTTGTTGCTTAAATGTAAACGTATTCCTATTTGTTTTCTTTTCCGTTTGACTACAATTATTGTATTGTAACTTTTCTTTTTTTCAGGACGTATTTTCTCTTTGTTGTGCTTTTAAAATTTATTTAAATTGAATCTTTTTTTCTCTCTCTTTCTCTTCAACAATGTATCTCAATGTTTAAATGTTGATGTCTTTCATGCATTGTGATCAATTTCTGATGCTATTATTGCCATAAAAAGAACACATCATTTCTTGTTTGTTGCTTTATGTGTATTTGAGTGTGCTTTTTTGTTGTAATTTTAAAATAATTTTAATTATTGTATCTCATTCTGTTTATCAATCAAAACAAAAATTAAAATTATGTAATAGATGTTTTTTTTTCTTTAATCATTCAGATTAATAACAGCATGTCAGCAAGTATAGAATCAAGCGCAATTGCTGATTTTTTCAAACAAAAATCTATCTTTATTACTGGTGCTACAGGATTTATCGGCAAACAGCTTGTTGAAAAACTTGTTCGATCATGCCCAGGTAGGAAAAAAAACGAAATATGAACCATTTTGATTAAATTTTGTTTCTTCCGAAATAAATGAAGACATCGAAAATATATATCTTCTTGTTCGACCAAAACGAGGTCATGATGTAACTGAACGTGTAAAAGAATTAGTATCTGGGACTGTAAGTCTTTTAATAATATAAACGAATTTTTAGTTTTTGATTATATAATAATTCTAGTTATTTAATCATGCTCGATCTGTTCATCCAAATTTTGAACAAAAAATTATTCCTATGCAAGGGGATATACTTGATCCAAATTTTGGCCTTAGTTCCGCAGATGAAACTACATTAATCGAAAATTGTCATGTTATTTTTCATTCAGCAGCAACGGTTCGTTTTCATGAACCACTTCGGTATAAAATATGAATATCATTATAAATAAAAGTTTTTCTTTCTTTTCTTCTTCAGATTAGCTGTTCAAATGAATGTTGCATCAGTTAAAAAACTACTTGCGTTATGTCATAAACTGAAAAAAATACAAGTACTATAAAACAAACAATACAAATATATATATATACATAAATAAAAATCTTTTAGTCTATTGTTCATGTATCAACAGCTTATGCTAATTGTAATCGCAGTGATGTTGCTGAAATGATCTATCCACCCCCAATTCATCCATCAAAATTATTAGATGCTAGTGAATGGATGGATGATCAAGTATTTGACACTATAACTAAGAAGATTATTAATGATAGACCTAATACATATACATTTACTAAAGCACTTGCTGAATATGTTATATCTCAAGAATCAAAAGATCTTCCCTTAGCTATTATACGACCATCAATTGTCGGGTCATCATGGCGAGAACCAATGCCAGTAAAATTTATAAAACAATATTATAAAGAAAGGCTTTAAACTTTTTTGTAATAGGGATGGATTGATAATTACAATGGCCCGAGTGGAATGATTGTTGCAGTAAGAAATATTCGATGTAATAAATAGAAAAAATATTCGATTATATTTAGACTGGTAAAGGCATGTTTCGTATAATGTTTGGAAATAGTACAGCAGTAGCTGATATTGTTCCTGTTGATGTTTGTGTCAATATGATGATTGCTATAGCATGGCATACAGCAATGAAACAGTAAATATCGATGATTTTATTTATTATACTATTTTGTATTATTTTATTTAGGCCAAAAGATATTCCTGTATATCATTGCTGTAGTTGGCATGCGGGTGCATTAACATGGGGTAAAATTACTGAAATTGGTTTGCGTCATCTTGATACAATATGTATGGAAAATGCAATTACATTTCCAAATTTAACATTTACTTCCAATCGGTAAATAGATAAATAAAACAAAAAAGAATTTCTGGAAATTTCATTCGTTTTATTTCTCTAGATTTCGATATTTTTATCTTCGATTATTTCAAGAAGTCTTCCCAGCTTTTGTGCTTGATTGTGCCATGCGTATCGCTGGTCGAAAACCGATGTAAGAATATTTATGAATATAATAATTCTATTTCATAGATTTCCTATTTTAGGTTTTTAAAATTATGCGATAGAATTTATAAGAGTGTACGAACATTGGATTTTTTTACCTCACATTCATGGTCTTTTCCGAATGATAATAGCCTTGGTCTTCAACAAGAAATGAATGATACTGATCAAAAAGTAAGTTATATTGAAATATTATCTAATAATGATAAAAATTCAGCAAATAAATGAATATAAAATACAAAACTAATGAAATGAAGATGATATTTATCCGGAGAAATGGTCCTTGTGATCAATGTATTACAACGTATGGGATTTATTCTCGCGGTAGGAAAATAGCTGAGATAAAACGTGGCATTCAGTAATTGAATATAGAAATTAACAGCTACTAACATAATTGAGCTGCTTATTTATATTATAAATGAAAAAGTCCAATGGTGTCGGTTATGATTTGTAATGCTGCTTTGATCATATCATTAATAATCTATGTCACATCTGTAGATGGTGGAGGAAATACAAATCCGTAACCTATATACTTCACAGAGATGGGCAACTCCGGCGAAGGGGGGGGGGGGGGGGGGGGGTAAGCAACTTCAACTTCATCTCGTTGTTCACAATTCTACTCCAACTCCACCGATTTTTTTAGGGCTCAACTCCAGGTAAAAAAAAGCGTCAGCCCTGGAGTTGAAGTTGCTCATCTCTGTATAGATATTTTTGCTGTTTTGTTGCACGTCATGAGATCCGTCGGAGTTGAATCAGAGTTGAAAAAAAGCATCAGCTCCAACTCTATCTCGTTTTTCACAGCTCCACTTCAACTCCGAAGTTAACTCCAACTCTAGAGTTGGAGTTGCCCATCTCTAATACTTCATCAATCCTTTAAGATCGCGTTTCATGAAATAATATATTTGAAGATAGCTAGTTGGGCTTTGGTTATATACATTTCTATTTACGGTTAACTAGATTCAAATACAGTAGAGAATAACTTTAGATTATCGCCTATCATTATATACGTTCGATTTTGTTGTAACACTAAGAAAATTTTTACTTTCTTTTCATTTAGATATTTAATTTTGATTTGAAAGACATGGATTGGGATCAATATTGGTTTCATTATTGTTTGGGTGCTAAACAATATATACTTCGTGAAGATCTCGCTCATATGCCAAAATGTCAAAAACGAAATCAACGGTAAACTTTAGTTTTTTTTGTCCTATCTTTGTTTAAATTTCTATATTTTCTCCAGATTAAAACGTCTACAAAATTTATTATGGTTTTCTACCGTTGCACTTATTATCAAATTTATTTTTTTTCGATCCTTTAAAATTCGTCGAATTTTCATGATTCCTTTCCGTTTTATTTTGTCATTACTTTCGAAAATCTTAACAAAATAGAATTTAATCGAATATTAGTTTTTTGTTTGTTTTGTTTTTTATAGAAATATAAGCATGACAAAAATAAAGAAAAAAAATCTAATAGAACAAAATAAACATACACACACACACACATGCGTGAAATCATCTAGATAAATCTATCATAATAAACAAAGATTAATAGAAAAAGAAAAAAATCATTTTTTTTGTAATAATATTTTGAATTTTTCTTTCATTACTGTTTCGGATATAGGAAAGAAATTTTCTTGTTCAATTTTACAAGAATTTGACATTAAACAATCATGACTCGGTCGTGGATGAATTAATTTTGATGATATACTGGAAGAATTTAAATATGTTATTGGAATTATATAATCATCTTGATCTACTAATGTTGGAGATAACTGATTTTTATTATCATATAATTTTTGTAATATAATCGGTCTGTTAAGATCTCGTTCGTATGGTACAATACAATCATATTTTCGTATAAGATTATGTCGACGTTTTTTATTTGATGAATGAATCGGAGAAAAACGTCGTTTTAATTCAGCACTGGTTAAAAGTTTCGGTTGATGAAAATGTTGAGAAAGAGAAGGATTAGATCGAGGTGGTGTTATATATCCAGGATTAGATGAAGTTACTAAAATAGAAAAAATAAAGCATGTCTTTTAAATTTTTAGGATACATAGAGAAAATCTCTTCGATTAAATATTGTCTATGATTAACATAATTATTATGAACGGATTTTTCTGTATTTACATATTTAACTTTGTATGAAAAAATCCTAATAAGATTATACTAACCTTGAGGAGGAGATTGATTCATCTCTGATGTAAAATGAGATGGAGATTCCATTAGGAAAAAATTTAATCTAATCCTTTTAATCGAAATATTTAACAAAGAAAAAGTTAACCGTTGATTTGTATGTCATCATATATCTTTTTCCTTCATTTTCACGTGTTCATTTCGATCGATCTACATATGATCGATGAATCATGATATTTTTCTCTAATTCAACCAGCTGTTGATTATATTTTATAATTTAACCAAAATTCGATATTAAAATTTTAAAAGATACTATTATCATTTGATCTAGAAACAATAGTGTCATCTATCTACAAAAATATTTAATTACAATTAATCTGAATAAATAATATGGTATAATACATTATTTCAAAATCTATATAATGAACTTTGCATATAGAGATACAATCTGATAATACAAAAAAAATGAGTACTTAGCATTGTAAGTTTCACAATTTCAAATAAATCAATCTATAAAAAAAATTCGCTTATTGATTGAAGTTGATATGTCATCGTAAAAAAAACACGTAACTCATACGGTAAGCTTTAAAATTCTAAATGAATATATACACAATGCTTCTCGCAAACATTCTTGTTCTTGTAAATAAACGCCATCTGTACTCTATAAAAAACAGTCTATATGATTTGTTGAATAAAATGGTTGATTTATGGATGGATAGCTCACTCATGCAAACTTTTCGTTGTTGTTGTAAAGAACAGGAAAGAGGAAAAAAATAAGTCAAAATAAGATTTCAGATTTTGAGCAATCCTCTTGCAATATTTTTTTATTAAATGGCTCTAGCTGCACAACAATCATTATTAGATGAATTAATGGGTAAAGGTCGTAATGCAGCAAAAGGTGAAAAAGTTCAAAAACTTCGTTTTGATGATCCAAATGTATAAATATTTTATATTATAATTTTACATATATATAAACACGTGTTTTATTCTTCTAGGTTTGTAAATATATGCTTGTTGATTTCTGTCCACATGATTTATTTGCCAATACTCGACAAGATTTAGGTTAAATTTTAAACGAATTGTTTTTATCTTAAATTTTCTCTTTTCATTTAAGGAGCCTGTGATAAAATTCATGATTTTAGTCTTCGACAAGAGTACGTTAGATAATAGATTATATTAGAAATATAATTAAAATTTATCTATAGTTATGAAAACAGTTCGCGTTATGGAAAACTTGGTTATGAAGATGAATATGGTAAAAAAAACCTTTTTTTTCTTTATTTCATAACATATTGTTGTTGTTTTTCTTCTTTTATATAGAACGTTATTTTAAATCGTTACTGTCTGATGTTGAACGACGTATTAAACGTGGACAAGAACGTCTTCGTATAACTCAGGGTGATCCAAATGCTGAAAATGATCCACATAGTCTTAAGGTAATCTATACATGTTCATTATTTTGTTTATTTTAAATTATAAAAATTTATGATTTAGAATGAAACTATAACTAAAATTAAAGAGCTTGAAGAAAAAATTACAACGCATGTATTAAAATCTGAATGTTTGGGAAATGATTGTCGAATTGATGAAGCTCAACAAGTATTAAATGAATGTGAAGAAATGCGAGAAGAAAAGAAAAAACTTGAATTAGTTTGTTAAAAATACTTTCATATAGTTTCTTGTTTTTTTTTAAAAGAATTTTTTTTCTCTTTTCAGCAATTAGCTGAAGAACAGGCTAATGCAAATATGAATAAAGCAATGGAAGTATGTACCGTTTGTGGTTCATTTCTAATTATTGGCGATATACAAAGTCGTCTGGATGAGCATAATAGTGGAAAACAACATGCTGGTTATGCAAAAATTAAAGCATCACTTGAAGAAATAATTGTAAGTTTATATTAATTCTTATGTTATATTTCACAGGATGTTTATAAGTTCGTTATTGATCAAGTTTATTCATCGATTTGTAACTAGAATTCAAAATTAGACATTCTTTTTTATGCTATGAATAATAATTTTTGATAGATAGTATTTTCTGCCATATTAAAAGTACAATTATTATCTTAATCAAATTAGCCTTTATAAATGATGAATATATATATAAAATATTAAAGTTAAGAGATGATCTTAAACTATATAAAATGCGAGATGAAGTTTCTCTGCTATTTAAAACCACAATAAGTCAATAGATTAGAAATATCTTAAGGCTCCTACCCCTTAGAAACCGATTTCCGGATTAAGTATATTTAGATCGCATGAGAATTCTAGAGTATGTTAGAACGGAAATGAAGAGGCTATGATAAAATCACCCTCAAGTCCATGACTCAAAAAAGCCCCAAAAATGAGTGTCTAGTTACGTAAATATCTGTATATATAATAAAAAATTCGGTTTAATTAGAAAAGGACTTTGTGGCGCCTTGGAATTCGACGCGCTCTTTCACACAAGTCTGGATCGAGAAAACACCACTTATTTTTCAAACAGGGAGTGACAGAAATCTAGGAAAAATTTGTATCGTTTATGAAAGATCAGATGCTGGACTATCTTCCCATATATTTGAAATTTTTGACGAAATCTATAATGTAAATTCTTAATATTTCAAATTAATTTTAGCAACGTAAAAATCAAATGGTTGAAAAAGAACGAACTCGGACTACAGAAAAACAAGAAACTTCAAATCGAAAACGAGTAATTTCTTTTATATATTTGTTTTCAAAAGAAAATTTTTCATAATAGGATCGATCTAAATCAAAAGATGAAAAATCTAAACGACATCATTCACTATCATCAAATCATCAGCATCATCGTGATAGAAATACAAAACAAAGAGAGTCATCAAGGTTAGACTTTTTAAAGAAAACAAATTTAAAAAAAACCTTATTTCTATAGAGAAAAAACTGATCATCATCATCATCACCATCATCACCATCGATCATCTTCTCGGCATGAAAATCATTCTTCATCAAAAGAACGTCATTCTTCACCATCGATAAATCATCGTCATCATCGACGATAAAACTTCAAAAAATTTCTTTTTTCTTGTTATCTATTCAACCAATTAGGTATATTCTTTCAATCATCTATGTAAATAGAGAAAAGATGAAGATAAAAATACGAACAAAATCAATGTATATGTTTTCTTTCATGGATAAGATATTGCAAAAAAATTCAATTGTTTTAGATATGAATTCATCCGTCGATGTTGATCTATTAATTCAACAATGTGAAGGTTATATGCATGAACATGATATTATGAATTTAATAAAACAATGCTTACATAAACTATGTATTCACCAACCAGATAACCCTATTCATTTTCTTAAACAATACTTTTCTGGCGAACAATATGACCAGGTTAGAAATACTATTATTTATAAGATTAAATTATCTCTTTCCTCATATATTGATTTACTATTTTAAAATATTACGAAAAAAACTAATATATTTACTCTGTTTATTCATTCCATACAGAGAAAACAAAGTTTTATGTTTCTTCATCCATTATTAATTTATTTTCTTCTCACCCGAATAAAAAAATAGCAAAATCTAATCATGATAAATAAATCAAAGTTCTATATTCTATGATGATTTTATTATATCTAGATCAGAAAGTAGCTTGTGTCTTTGAACGTCATACTCATAAATATTTGAAATCATGCAATAAAGAAAAAAATCTGATACGCTCTTTTTCTTTTTACATTTCCGTTCATATATAGTTTGCATCATAAAATTTATTCATTATTTTAGACTTTGCTAATGACTGAACCAGAACATATTCAATATCCATTATTAACTAAAAAACGTCGTGGAGCTGTATCATCCAAATCATCATCAGGAGTACATGGAACAACACCATTTGTTCGAGAAATTGTTCAAAAAGATTATGCGACAATGTGTGCCTTATCGGAAGCAATAAAAAAGAACATTCTATTTAGGTATTTGAAATTATTTATGGACATTTGTTTGTAAAAAAATTGTATTGCTTTGGTTTCTGCTAATAATTACATGGGTTCATTTATAAATCTATATTCTCTAGTCATTTGGATGAAAATGAACGTGCACAAATCTTCGATGCAATGTTTCCTGAAATTCATCTAGCAGGTGATATCATAATTCAGCAAGGTGAAAAAGGTGAAAATTTTTATATTATTGATAAAGGTGAAGTAAATGTATGTTCGATTTTAAATTTAAAAAAAGATAAATATATTGAATTTTATTCTTTTGTTATACTTATCAAAGGTTTATGTTAATGATGAGCTTGTAACGAGTATTGGTGAATGTTCAAGTTTTGGTGAACTTGCTCTTATTTATGGTACACCACGTGCAGCAACAATTAAAGCTAAGACAGATGTTAAACTTTGGTCTCTATTAGGAGAAACTTATCGAAGAATATTAATGGATTCAACAATAAGAAAAAGAAAAATGTATGAAGAATTTTTAAGTAAAGTTTCAATTTTAGGTAAGAAAAAACACAAAAATCGACTTTTTTGAAATATGAGTTTAATTTCAATAGAAACACTTGATGAATGGGAACGTTTAACAGTTGCTGATTCACTTGAACCAGTTCAATTTGAAGATGGTGAAATTGTTGTTAAACAAGGTGATCCAGGTGATGATTTCTTTCTCATCGTTGAAGTAAGTATTTGTATTATATGAGATTAAAAACGAATAAAATGTTTTTTCTAGGGTAATGCTATTGTCTATCAAAAAACATCTGAATCACCTCAAGCAGTGGAAGTTGATACACTTGGTGCAGGAAATTATTTTGGTGAAATAGCTCTTTTATGTAATCGACCACGTGTTGCAACAGTTGTTGCTAAAGGTATATTAAAATGTGTTAAGATGGATCGTGCACGATTTGAACGTGTTCTTGGTCCTATACAAGATATACTTAAACGAAATATTCCGCGTTATAATTCTGTTATTCGTCTTGATCAATTACGCATGACTGCAACTACTTCAAATAATAATCTCAATAATGATGAATTTTCTCAATAAATTATATATCTGAAAACTTTAATCTTATATATAATTAATAATACTTTGTTGATAATAATGAACAGTGTACTTATGTATTGTATTGGAAGAAATTTTCTATAATGTTTTTTTTTTGTTTTATTTTGTATATAAATTTTAATGAGAGATCTTTGTTTTTCTTTTATTTTTGTTATCAATTTTTTTCGATATAGAATACTTGAATGTAATATGAGATTTGCTCGAATAAGAGAATTGATCAACACTGATTCTACTTCATTTTCTATGAGATAAGTAAAATCGATTTATTTCATCAATCAGACATGAGGTTTTATTTTTTGTGTTGTTTATTTTATTTTTTTCAATAAGTCTTATGTCAGAATTCAACATACCATATATTATTTACATGAAATGGTGTGTATATTTATATTAATGTACTACTTGTATTTTTATCTCATTTTTCTATTTAGAATAATACTAGAGAATGCACAACTTCAAATTATTCAGCTTCAAATTCAATAAGACGTGTCTTTCAGAAATTAGTGCCTGATTATTAGTTACTTATATTCTACGCAAAAAACACTTCGCATCTATGAACTTTAATATTGGTATTATTCACCAGTATAACATAGTTGTCTTTGTTATTTATGATGTCGTGATAATTATATTGACGTTGTTGGCAAGAATATCACATTATCTGTTCTTATGCTGTTCATTCTCTATGTTAGTAGCATTGTCCATCATTTTATTTAACTGAATGTTTAGTATCAAAAGAAATCTATTAGCACAGAATTACAGATATGGTCAGATTAGTTATATCGATTCATAATATTATTATTGATATGTGATTAATTGATGTAACTTTCAAGTTTAACCAACGATAATTAAATATCGAATAAGGAATGAAAAAATGCGAATTTTATTTTAACAGCAATTACTATAAAAGATAAAAATATTTTGTTGTCTTTTTTTCATTTTTAATCATGAAAAATGTCAAATATTTCACGATGATAATCTTGAATTTATTTAATAAAAATAAAAACTTCTTTCTGATTAGTTCGTTTCTATTTCTTCATATTCATTTTAGAATAATGTTTCGAAGTTTATCTGCTTTACGTGTATTTAACTATGGTTATAACCCAGCACGTTTAGTAACTACAGCAAGTTCGAATACATTAAAAGTCAAAGATGAAGTTAAACGTCAACGAGAATTAGCTTTACTTGGTGGTGGAAAAAAACGTATTGATGCTCAACATAAGAAAGGAAAATTAACAGCACGTGAAAGAATTGAAATTTTACTTGATTCAAATTCATTTCGAGAATATGATATGTTTATGCAACATCGTTGTACCGATTTCGGTATGGAAAAAGAAAAATATAATGGTGATTCAGTTGTAACAGGTTCTGGTCTTATTAACGGACGTCCTGTTTATGTATTTTCACAAGATTTTACTGTTTTTGGTGGAAGTTTATCAAGTGTTCATGCCGCTAAAATATGTAAAATTATGGATCAAGCTATGCTTGTTGGAGCACCCGTTATTGGTTTAAATGATAGTGGTGGTGCTCGTATTCAAGAAGGTGTAGAATCACTTGCTGGTTATGCAGATATTTTTCAAAGAAATGTTATGGCAAGTGGTGTCATTCCACAATTATCTCTTATTATGGTAAGATGAATATCTCTGTATTAATCTAGATGAATTTTTATTTACAATTTGATAAAAATCTTTACCAAAGCTCTTGTTTTTTTTAAAAAGATTATTATCTTAGATATAATACTGATTATATCTATCGGCTTTTCATAAATATATTCAATAAGAATTGTAAATCATGATCGATTACAAAAGAAAAGAAATATCATATTTTAATATTAATCTTTTATTTTCAGGGTCCTTGTGCCGGTGGTGCTGTTTATTCACCAGCATTAACAGATTTTATATTCATGGTTCGTCATACATCATATTTATTTATAACCGGTCCTGATGTTGTACAATCAGTGACGAATGAAACTGTTACACAAGAAGAATTAGGTGGAGCTAATCCACATATGATTAAAAGTGGAGTTGCACATGGTGCATTTGATAATGATATTGATACACTTTTACGTACACGAGAATTATTTAATTTCTTACCATTATCAAATCGTGATACAGCACCAGTTATTCGTCAATCGGATGATAGTCCAAATCGTTTAGCTTATTCATTAGATACAGTTGTACCCTTAGAAACAACTGCTGCCTATGATATGAAAGAAGTTGTATGTAACTAAATTTTATTGAAAAACCATGAAAAAACTGTGGTATTATAATTTTTATTAGATTAATGCAGTTGCTGATGAAGAAGATTTCTTTGAAATTATGCCTGAATTTGCAAAAAATATTATCATTGGTAATGAAATACAAAGCTTATATATTATAGTTCTTTTTTTTTACCTGAATAATTGTATTTCAAGGATTTGCACGTATGAATGGTCAAACTGTTGGTATTGTCGCTAATCAACCGAAAGTAGCAGCTGGATGTTTAGACATAAATTCATCCGTAAAAGGAGCTCGTTTTGTTCGATTCTGTGATGCATTTCATATTCCAATAATAACCTTTGTTGATGTTCCAGGTAAATATTTTCATAATAAATATTTTATATTATCAGTAAAGAAAAATAAATTCTTTAAGGATTTTTACCTGGTACCGCTCAAGAACATAATGGAATTATTCGTCATGGTGCTAAACTTTTATTTGCTTATGCCGAAGCAACAGTACCTAAAATAACTGTTATTACACGTAAAGCTTATGGTGGTGCATATGATGTTATGTCTTCGAAACATCTTCGCGGTGATATGAATTATGCATGGCCAACTGCCGAAGTAAAAATGAAAGTCATAGTTTTATTATTTAATTAATTTCTTTTTCCTAAAGGTTGCTGTAATGGGTGCACAAGGTGCAGTTAAAATTATATTCCGTGGTAGTCGTGGTGATGATGTTAAAAAACGAGAAGCTGAATATATAGATAAATTCGCAAATCCATTTCCAGCTGCTATGCGAGGATTTGTTGATGATATTATTGAACCGCATACAACTCGACAACGTATTTGCCGTGATTTAGAATTATTAGTAAACAAAAAATTGAAGAATCCAAAAAAGAAACATGCAAATATTCCATTATAAACACTATCTCTTTTTTTCGTATAAACAAAAAGAACTAAAAATTTCTATGATTGCTTATTATTTTCTTTTTTTTGTTTGTTTTTAGTTTTCTTCTATAATATATTACAAGAAAGAAAGAAAAGGAGAATGAAAAAAAAAACCGACAAACATAAACAAAATACTAATGAAACACAAATTGTTTACTTTGTGGAGACTAATAAGTAGGAAGGAAAAAGGTACAAAGGATGGATTACATCCGACATATTAGAAACAACTTGTTTCATAGAATTACAAAAAAACCTCATAATAGAATATTGAATACAAAAGACATTGACAATAACGTAAAACACAAGAAGAAAACAATATATATTATATCTGCCATAATGCCTAAAGTAACAAATGTTGTTTTTTTTCCCGTCTGTTAAAAAGCACTACATAAAAGTGCAAATTCAGTTTTATCTAAGAGTCCATCACCATTCCTATCGGCAACATTAATCATTTCTTCAATATCTCGTTTCGATAATTTTTCTCCTGTTAAACGTTTCATAACTTTTCGTAATTCTTTTGGTTCAATGAAGCCATTTCTATCCAAATCATAACAATTAAATAATGTTTCAATATCATAATGCATTTTAGGTAATGATGATGTATTATTACTATCATCTGTTAATGATAATTGATCATTTGTTGTTAATGATAATTTTGTTTGAAGAAATTCAACAAATTCATCATAACTTAATACATGTCGATTACCATTACCATTAGCTTCAGCAAACATTTGTCTTATAAAACGTTTATCAACTGATTTATAACCTAAATTATGCATAACAGATTGAAATTCTTTGATGCTTAATTTTCCATCACGATTTTTATCAAAATATGTAAATGCTTTTCGTAGATTTACTTGTGATAATGTTCGAGAATTTGTATGTGATAAACGTATATGAGAATTAATTGATGAACTTGTTGATGATATTGATGATGCTAATCGACTACGACTAAATTTTGGTGATGGACTATCAGGTATAGTCGGAAGTTCTTCAGTGACACCATGAACTGCAGCAGCAAGGTCAGGAACAATTTGATATTTATATGACATTCTTCAAAGAAATATGCGTATTTTCTTGTTTTTTAATAATCTGAAAAGAATAAGATCATCTATAATATTTATAAAAAAAAGTACTTTTTTTTTTCTTCTGCGGATGTCGTTTATTAAATAAGAAGAAAAATGACTGATATGAAAAGCAAAAGAAAAAAAATATGATTAAATGATGTCGATTTTTCTCGAAAAAAGTACATCTACCTTTCGATTTTTTTTAATAATAATAATGAGAAAATGAAACCTTCTTTTGTGGACATAATGAAATAGAATAAATTAGTCTACCTACCAAAAATCATTTGCTGACGTCATATCACCTTTATAATAGGCCAAGAATGACTAATGAATGGTAAGTCAACTTAGTGATTAGTAAGCATTGACGATTTGTTATTTTACATGAAATGTTATTATAACACTACATTATCTTCGAATAGATATGATAAAGATGATCGGCGAAGAAGAAAGTAGCAGTACTCAGGAAAACAAAGGAGGAGTTTATGACATGCATTTCAAAAAATAAAACGCATATTTGACGTCATTAATTTTCTTAAGACTTATTACATTGAATGTTGGTTTTTCTTTTTTTTTTTCTCATTCATCAATAGAAAATAACATTATTGAAAAATTAATTTTAACAGATGACAGAATTCTCTTACTAGAAAAATGCTTCAAAACGTAATTAATTGAAATAAAAATTTTGATACGTAGGAAACATGATGAAGTCATATATACTTCTGTAAAAAAATATGTTTTTCTCCTAAATTTTATTTATTATATCTTAAATTTCCTCACATGTTGATTTATTATATGACATATATATGACGTCAGTCGACGAGAAATGCGTGTTATTTCAAGTATTTGTATATTATGTTTCCTTGTTAACTACTAATAATAGTATACAACTAATTTCATACGGAGTAAAAAAAGATAAATTTTACATTAAAATTCTCACTTGAAATAACCATTTGTCTATAAAAAAAAAAGTCTATTAATAATATTGAACTATTTTTACTCACTATCTGAACTTTTATTTATACGATGCATACAATTTGATAAAAGAACAGAACGTACATGATGATCTATATTCATTCAATTTTATTCTTATCTCAATATATACTCACCATGATTTTTAACTTTTAGTAGACATTTCTACCCATGTACGTGCAGACTAAGACCTATTCCCGATAGACGACGATATGGTAAAAAGAAAGGAAGAAAAGGGTTGTATATTTGAGCTTTACCTATATATATAAAGGAGAAAGAGATTTTTTTCTTCTTACCATCGCTCTGTACGTTTTTAATGTCCCGTTAGCGACCCATATCTAAACTCGACAAAAATATATCCAACGAATTAAGTCATTCTAACCTATAGTAAAAATATGAATGAAATATATTAATGGTAGACATGCTGTTATTTTCGTCGAAAGCCTAGAATACTCTTGAATTTCCTACCAAAAAAAAAATATTCTGCTACTTGAATAAGCAATCGGAAATAAAAAAAGAACGCAGCAGAGAACTTGTCAATATGACAAGTACTATTGACTAATTAGTTAATTTTGTTCAATTTTGTTTTTCATATATAAAAACTCTTTCTATCAATCAACTGATTGCTTTCTCGATCAAATATCTAGTTTTTTATGAAGAAGACGACGCAAAAAAACAACTATATATATATATGACTTGTAATTAATAAAGAATATTTTTGTATTATTTCATATAGAATCACATTAACAAGAAGATTTTGATAGAAGAAAAGAGAGGAAATGAAAAGACGAAAACAACTTTTACTTATCTAAGTAATGATTTTGCTAAGAGGATTTTCTAAAGAAGAGATTTAAAAAACCTACGTAATATATAAAAAAAAGTATGTAAATAGCTCATGAAAAGAAGATATTATCAAAGAATTACTTATGCAAATATGAAAATGATCAAAATATTCTCCGACATTCTAGAATGATATTAATTCTCATATTTCAGCTAATGATAGTGTCGCGTCATACAAAAATAGAAAGAAAAACAATGAAAATTAGTCAATAGTCAATACTCATTGACGTCATACAATTATATTCCTGTCAATTGTTCACGAGCGTAGTATCTACGTCATAATGAGCCTTGAGAATATTTTCTCTCTCTCTCTTTTATCAACTATCACTATTGTATGCTTATTCTTTGTTCCTTTCTTTTTTTTAATATTCTCTAAACATCTGTTACATAACTATGATAATTAAACATAGACACTTTTAATGAAAAATGTTTGTTCAAGATGGTTCGAAAAAATTTATTTTTCTTATTACATCAAAAGAATGTGCGCACTAAACAAAATACCAAAGAGTAATTCATCATTCATTTACTTGTCATTTCTACAGATTAAATATTAGACAAGAAAATATATCCTGTTTATTTCTTGTCGTAGCACTAACATTAAATTTTCTGTAAATTATAATTTGAGATCAAAAAGTACACTTACTGATTACTGGAAAGTTGAGTATTTTTTTTTAATCTAAAGATATTTCTGACAGAAGACAAGAAAAATTCTCGGTAAAGAAAGTGCATTGCATTGTAATATAAGTTATGAAATGACGAAGGTGAAAAGAAAGAATAAGTCATTATATAAAATAACATCTTTCTCGTTTCAGTTTCCTTCTCCTTCCTTTTTATATAGATATATATAGACGTAGATTAGAAATCAATTTTTAACGGGAAACAAGGACAAACCTTGTTTTTCCTTTTTTACTACATGGTGTAACCGCCAAAATAAGGAGACTTTGTGTAGAATAACATAGTATGTAATTAATTTTGTTAGAATAGAACTGTTAATTACAAATTTTCATTTCCATTCTATAAAATCACAGTAATCATCATTTTTATCAATTATTATTGTATTAAAAATGTGCGTAAATCTCTTATTAGATTTTAGTAGCTTGTATATCCAAATACGAAAACAATATTGTTTTCATACCTTGATCTATATCATATATTATTCATTAAATAGAGGCAAAAACATCATATTATTTCGGTACAATGTTGATTTTTATATGGATATTTCATAGTATAACGCTTGATAAATACAAAAATAAACTAATATGTTTTTCATTTTCATTCATCGAAATGAATAGATTAATGAAAATTTATATTCTTTCATATAATGATAATAACAAAAAAATAACATATTTATATGTATATATGCATATTCAATAAACGTGACTCGTAAAAAACAATCAGAGATAAGAGAACGAAAAGATTTGAATAACTGATAATTGTATATTTGCATTGAGTGTTATCATATAATATATTGCCTAAATGTTTGTCTCATCATTCAAAACATGCACTTATGGGAAAGTATCAAAAGGTGAAAGGGTAACTAAAAAACTAAAATTTGAAAACTTTAATTTTTAATCTATTTTATGTTTATTTTGTTGTTATATTGTTATTGTCAAATTATGACATCGAACCAAAAAAAAAAAAGAAGATATTCATATAACGTTAAAATTCTTGTTTATTAACATTTCTTCCGTAAATATAAAAAAAAGAGAGAGCAAGAGAGAGACAAACAAACTTAAACATGTTTATTATAATCGTTCTAATTCAATAGTTTTTGTTCTTTTTCCATCGAATTTAAATGTTGATGACTCGACTTAATTTTTGAACACGATTAAGTAATAAATCACCTTTTTTAATAACTTCTTGATAAAGAAAATTTTTTGAATCTGGTCTTGTTGTTTCAATAATTCCTCGAACTTTATCAATTTTACAATTAAGTCGACCACTAGCAATAAATCTTGATAATTCTTTATCAAGAAATGTTTCTGAACAACCAAATGATTGAGCCATACCTTTTAAGGTTAAGGATGAATATGATTGTAATAATTGATTATATGCAATAATACGCATTTCACGTACATAATAAGTTGCATGTGGTGCAAAATAACGATCTTTAGTAAGTAAAGTATCTTCAATTGTTGCTAAGCAACGAAAGAAATCAGCATAACGACATTCATAAAGTGAAAATAAATATTCTTTAATTAATGGTAAACCATGAAGAATTTCTAAAATTTCACTTCCACGAATAACTAAATAAACAAAAATTTGTGTTTTGTTTTTTCGAAATTTAATTTTTTTTTGTTACCTTTTTCACGTAATTTTGGTCTTTCAAGAGCAACAAGACAACAAATAACTGTATATGTAACAAATGTTTGATAATCCATTAATTCATATGATGTAAATGTTGCAACTGTATCAAGAAATAATTCAGCAGCTGATTTAAAATCTCGAATTGACATTGCACGTAAACCTTGATAAACTTTCATACGATTTCGTCTATCCCAATCTCCACCTTCATCAACTAATGTTTTAGCTTTATCTAAATTTCTTTCAACTAAATCTTGGTCCATATAAAATAAACCTAAACGTAGTTGATAAAAAATTAAATCTAATCGATGTCCTAATGTAACGGTTTTATCATATGTTTTTCTTAACCATGTTAATGCTTGTTCACGATCACCAATTAAACATAAATATTGTGCTTTAGCTAAATAACTTTCACGTACTTCACTATCACCAAATGCTTTTTCATTTTCATCGATTTTATCATTTAATTCTTTTAATTTGTCTTCATTGACTTTTTGCATTGTTTGAACGAGTTTATCATCAGATGATAATTGTCCATCTTTAATACATTCATTATAGAATGGTGTCATATTATTTGTTTTAATTTCATTCAATAATTTTTCTTTTAATGTTTTATCATTTGGTTGGAGTGTTAGTAAAAATTTGTATTGTGCTAAATCAAGATTTGGCACTTTAGGAAGGCCTTCATCAGATAAATCTTCAACAGGCATGATCTAAAAATAGTTTAATAATATCAATATCCTTTATAGTCTAGATGAATTTCAAAATCATGCTTGCGTCTCCGGTGATTTATTTTTAGTATTGAAAGGGCATCTTGTACTTCGGGATTGACTTAAGAGGATTCTTCAACATTAGTTGAATAGAGAAGATAACTGTCAGAAAATATGATTAAAATCGAAAGAATAAATAGACATTTCTTGTCAATCATTATTTAGTCAAAAGTATCTCTTATATTTTTTCATTTTTTATTCTATCAATTAAAATATAATTGAATGTTTTGTCGAAACTGCACTAACTCAAGAAATATTGTAAATAAATCTTAAGTTCATCAACAGTTTAACATTACTATATCCCAGGAAGAAATCGTACAAGAATCATTGAATAAGATTCTGTCGTCAAATATCTGGGATAAATATTCATTTAAAATAGAAGAAATTACCTTCAAGAAAATTTCTATTTTAATATTTAGATAAAATCTAAAACGGACCCTTAGTTCAGTTCATTCTCTTTTTTTTATAGATTAATGGCGAAGTGTATGTGTATGCTTATATATATATATATATATGATTCGCCATCCAATTGTTCATTAGTTAGTCTCTACTATCAGACATTTTCAATTTAAGATAAAATTTAATTTACAATATAGAAAATCTTTTATTAATGAAGATTATTTTTTTATGAAATAAAATTTAAATTTATTATATTGATAAAAAAATATGAATGTCATATGGCTCCATCTTTCACGAGAAATTTTATATCTTAAAAGTGAATGCAACGTCGGTGAATCAAAGAAATGTACAATTTTATTCAAAATAAATAATGATTTTAGTAACTTAATCGATCATGACTTGTTTTGTCTATAGATTAAAGTATGAATAATATTTACGCACTTAACTTGATGCTCTAGAGATATGAAACGTGTGACATCTATTTTTTACCGAAAAATATTTTTCTTCATCACATCGAAAAATAACTAAAAAAATATTTATAAAAAAATTTTATAATAAAAACTTTTTTATTGGCTATTATATCGTTCGAGACTATGACGAATGAATGATTGATTAATCCAACTATATAAATCACTTTTAGCCTATCTTGTTTTTTTCGGATATCATTACTACTTAGACAATTAAATTAACGATGGGCACATCATATGCAGGTGAATCGAAACCCGATCAAGATGTCCGAGTATGGATGGATGGATGGTAAGATTTTAATTTTACACTACATAGTAAATTTTAACTATTTATTTAAGTTATGATATGGTACATTTTGGTCATGCTAATGCATGTCGTCAAGCTAAACAAATGGGAGGTTATTTAGTCGTCGGTGTTCATTCAGATGGTTTGTTTTCTATCGATTTATATCTTTTGCAAATAATTTTTGTTTTTAGAGGAAATTACTAAACATAAAGGTCCTCCAGTTTTTACAGAACAAGAACGATATAAAATGGTACGAGCTATAAAATGGGTTGATCAAGTTGTTGAAAATGCACCTTATGTAACAGCATTGGAAACATTAGAAGAATATAATTGTGCATTTTGTGTACATGGAGATGATATCACAGTAAGAAAAACTAATTAAATATACTTTTTCTTATTAAAAATTCTAGGTAACTGCAGATGGTGTGGATACATATCATATTGTAAAGACAGCTGGTCGATATCGTGAATGTAAACGAACACAAGGTATATCAACAACTGATCTTGTCGGAAGGTTCGTTTTAATTAATTTCTTTGTTTAATATTATTCGATTTTATTGTGTTTAGAATGTTACTTGTGACAAAGTCTCATCATGAACCTGATGATATATTACCTGATCGAGAAAATACACGACGTATGAGCTTATGTAAAGAAAGTACTAGTCCATGGACTGGTGCTTCACAATTTCTTGCAACAACGAATAAGATTATACAATTTTCAAATGGTCGAGAACCAAAAGTAAGATTTTGAGCTGAAGATCTTATTTTAATCTATTGTAAATAGATCAAAAGATTTAATAATCGAAATTTCCCCTGAGGATATTGTTTTACTTTCATCACGCTTTATCAAATTTAAATTTTTATTTAGCCCGATGATAGAATAGTTTATACAGCTGGTGCATTTGATTTATTTCATGTTGGTCATGTTGATTTTCTTGAAAAAGCTAAATCACACGGTGATTATCTTATTGTTGGTTTACACTCCGATCGAGTATAAATATAAAATCTAATTTTAATAATATAATATAAAACTTGCTTATTATTAGATTGTTAATCGATATAAAGGAAGTAATCATCCGATTATGAATATTCACGAACGTGTACTCAGTGTATTAGCTTGTCGTGTAAGATAAAATATTTGATTTCGAAAAAAAAAACAATTCTGAAATTTTGTCTATTAAAGTATGTCGATGAAGTTGTTATTGCTGCACCTTATGCTGTTACAATGGAATTAATGAATCATTTCAAAGTTTCACTTGTTATTCATGGTCAAACACCATGTGATCCTGATATTGATGGACGTGATCCATATGAAGTACCAAAAGCACTTGGTAAATTTCAACAAATTGATAGCGGAAATCCAATGTCAACACAAGATATTATTACACGTATTATTGATAATCGGTTTGTTAATTTAAATTTATTTTATTCGAAATTAATACTCTGGTTTTTTGTAGATTAACATATGAAAAACGTAATAAGAAAAAAGAAGCTAAAGAAGCAGCTGCTTACGATGCATTTCAAAAATTAAAAGCTGAAAATCGTCATGAATCATCAGCTGTTAATGTTGAACCAGATCAATCAAAAAATAAAGACTAAGTTACATTTATAAAAGAAGATAATAATTATAAAAAAAGAAACATTGATTTTTAGCAATTTTTTTTGTACGTCTCGTTTTACTCATGCGTTTATTTGTTTTTTTTTCGAAAAAATCTATTCGATATTTATCACTCTTCTGACTTTGCATTTTGTCTATATTCTATGGCTGTTGTTTTTAGATATATAAAAAAAGAAACATCATGGTAAAAGGAAAAAATAAGAAAAAGAAATCAGAAAAAAAAATAAAAGATAATAATAATGATGAATATGAAGATATGGAATCTGAAGATGTAACAACGAATGAAAATACTACTAAAAATAAAGTACAACAAGTTTATTTACCAGGTGATCCATTAGATGAAGATGAAGAACTTGTACGAGAAGAAAGTGCATATGAAATGTTTCATGAAGCACAAACAGGCAAGTATGTGATTTAATAGAATTTCAAAAGAATTTATCAAGGTTTGTTTTGTCTTTTCTAGGTGATCCATGTTTAAGTTTTGATATATTATCTGATAATTTGGGTATGGATAGAAATCAATATCCACATACAGTATTTATTGTTTGTGGTACACAAGCGGAAAAAGCTGATCGAAATAGTGTGATGGTTGTAAAAATGTCAAATTTAACTAAAACTTTAAAAGTATGAATTTATATGAAAATATTAAGAATAGAAACAATTTTAACGTAGAATATTTTATGTGCCTTTGGATGAATTCATTATTAACTACTTAATATTGACTTCCGCCAAACATGACCCAAACCCAAACTGTTTGAGTTTGAGTTTGGGTTTGTGCTTTTTTAATCTGTAGAAGACACTATTTTCGATACATTGGTGGCAATTAAAAGAAGACCCAAACCCACGCTCAAACTCATTAAACTAAACTCAAACTCCCAAACAGTTTGAATATAAGTTTGGGTCATGTCTAACTTCCGCTCAATATATTTCTCATTCTTTCCTTAGTACCACGATATTCATTATATACTTGCTCTTAGATTAAAAAAACCTTTTATTAATAGAGGATTGTATTGAATCGTAGATGTTCACGAGTATTTCTTTCTAGAGATTATTACTAATAAATTTTTGAATTTTCTATTTAGGAAAAAACGTCCGATGCAGAATCAGATGATGATGACGATGATGAAGAAGAAGATTCTAAACCTGAATTTGAATCAGTTTCATTGAAACATTTTGGTTGTGTTAATCGAATACGAGTAATTAGATGAATATAGAATATTTTGAATAAAACAAAATTAATTTTTGTTTTTCTCTTCAGTCAACAGTTATTAATGAACGTAAAATAGCAGCAACATGGTCTGATACAGGAAAAGTACATATATGGGATTTAAGTCGATTAGTTCATGCTGTTAATGATTCATCTGTTATGTCTGCTTATGTTCGTAATCAAGAATCACCTAAACCATTATTTACATTTAATGGACATATGAGTGAAGGTAAAAGAAAAGATTTCTTTCTTCTTTTTTTTGCAATATCAAAAAACTATCTTCTTAGGTTTTGCTATGGATTGGTCGCCAGTTGTACCAGGTAAAGAAATAATTTGATTTAATCAAATAAAACAATTTTTTTCGTTTTTAGGAATGTTAGCCACTGGTGATTGCTCAAAAAATATTCATATATGGAAACCAAATGATACTGAATGGCTTGTTGATCAAAGACCTTATACTGGTCATACATCTTCTGTTGAAGATATTCAATGGTCACCCAATGAAGAGAGTGTAAGAAGATTTTTAACAAAAAAGACACATCAACTCTTTATTTATTTTGATTTTTGAAGGTTTTTACTTCGTGTAGTGTTGATCGAAGTATACGCATATGGGATATTCGTGCTATGCCATCAAAAGCTTGTATGTTAACAGAAGCGGATGCACATACGTCTGATGTTAACGTAATTAGTTGGAATAAGTTTGAACCATTTATTGTATCTGGTGGTGACGATGGTTACATTAAAGTTTGGGATTTACGACAATTCTCCGTAAAAAAAAATAAAAATTTCGAATTTTTAAAATTGTACGTGTGTTTTTTTTCTTCTTTCTAGAAACAAACACCAGTCGCATCATTTAAACATCATACATCAGCGATAACAAGTGTTCAATGGCATGATACAGATTCAAGTGTATTTGCTGCAGCTGGTGCTGATAATCAAATAACATTATGGGATTTAGCTGTAGAAAAAGATGATGAAGAAAAGAAAGAACAAGCAGTAGCATCAAATAATAATCAATTAGAAAATTTACCTGATCAATTACTTTTTATTCATATGGGACAAACAGATATTAAAGAAGTTCATTGGCATAGACAAATACCTGGTTTATTACTTAGTACTGCTTTATCCGGTTTTAATATCTTTAAAACGATCAGTGCTTAAAAAAAATCAGTTTATTATTGTTTTTTGTTTTCTGTTTCCGAAATAAAAAAAAATAACTAAGGTATCTATTTATTTTTTGAAAATATGAACAGCGGAATTGACCCAGCGATGCAAAGATCAGTTTAAGTTATAATTCTCTCGACTGTAGGGAGGATCATACGAAATAAAATAGTTTGTCTGTATGTTTGTGGCAGGTCAAAAGTCTTGAGGGTGTGGGTGTGGGTGTGGTTTTGGATCTCATTTGTTACCGATACCCACACCGAAACTTTCATCCACACTCACTCCCACTCTGTCACAGTCGAGGGTAAAGTGAGTCAAGACGACGAATGTTACTTGCTAATTCTATTATGATAAAATAATTTTGTTTATTTTTATAAATATTTTAAGAAAAAAAGGTATAAAAAAGTAAATAATTTTTTGAAAAAAAAACCTTGTTTTCTTATATAGTTGATTTTGGAAATTTCCATCGGAAAATACTTCCATCAGCACTAACAGAAATAATATGTTGTGAATTTGGACATATTTTAACTTTTTTCACTTCACTACCATGACCAATACCAACACTTATGACGTCACCTTCATTATAACGCCAGAACTAAATAGAATCTTAAAAATATCTAATAAAAGTAACATAATATACACTTACTTTTACTAATTTATCAGCACTAACAGTAACAAAATAATTACCAGAATTATCAATATCAAGTCCATTAATAGTTCCACTTTTTGATGCTTCTAATTCACGTATTTGTGCACCATTTGTAGATTCCCAATATCCAATCTTTCGATCACTACCACCTGTTACTATATGATATTCTTCAGGATGATAAGCTACACAATGAAAAAGTGTATTTTCAAATAAAACTTGATTACGTGCGAAACGTCTAGAATAAAATAAAAAGTTTCTACATTTCAATAAATTAATATTATTTTTACTTTAAATTCCAAATAATACAAGTACCATCAAGTGATGCCGTAACACATTCTGTATCCGATTTATTAATACGAATACAAACAATCGCATTTTTATGTTCTTTCATAGTTGCCAATAGTTCACGTGAATTTGGATTGATTTGCCAAATACGTATCATACCTTCGCCACCACCACTAACTATTCGTCGACAATCATTTGTAATAGCTATTGCTGTTACACCACGATTATGTGCATCATTTATACTAAACATCTCACGACCGGTTTCAGGATAAAAAGCTCGAATACGACCATCATCCCATCCACTAGCGAAAGAAAAAAGAATTTTCTCTTGATTTTTATAGAAATTTTCATTTAAACCTTAAAATCATTTTTCCATCACGACTAAAACATATTGAATTACATGTTTTATTTGCTTCTGATATTCGTAATAATTCATTACCAGTTGGTGCATGCCATATACTAAATTAACGAAAAAAAAATGTTTGAATTCGAAATTTTCTTTTCTTACCGAATATCTTGAAATCCACATGTACCAAATAATTCCGAAGTTCCACTTTAGAAAATATGAATTAGTTTTTTTTCTCCTAATATCAATTTTTAAAACTTACAAAGGAAATGCAATATCGTTTATAGGTGAATTATGACATGTATTAATTAATTCCATTTTCCAATCAGCATAATTAATTTTATAAATATGTGATCGATCTGTACCAATAAAAATCTATGCATGGAAAAAGATTTTATTTTATTTTTTAATAAGTAACAAAGAAATTTCATTTACCATATGACCTTCACCTCTTAATGCTATGGAAGTTATTTCACCCATAGCTTGTGCAGATCTAATATAAACAAAAAAATTAATATATATAAAGTCGCAGAATAATTTACTTTAATGATTTAAACGTTTCTTTTTCAGCAATATGAATTTTTCCTTCACCTGTACCAATTAAAACATCACCATTGATTAATGCTTGTATAGTTGTAATTCCCATTGAATATTTTTTCTTTTCAGGTCCAATACATTTAAATTGAGTAGCTGGAATATAGATCATAAGTATATCTCCTGATGTTGTACCACAATAAAGAATAGTACCATCCAATGAGACCTTGAAGATAATACAAAATTCTATTATTCCATTTTCTTTTTTTCTGTAAATATACTTACTGTCATACATTTGACAATACGTTTAACAATACCCGTATTAATATCTGTTGCTCGAATTTTTCGATTAGCGATATCCAATTGCCAAAAACGAAGTGTACCACTAAAAATATTGATTTTTATGTTTTTCGAAAACAAAATTATATTGCTTTTAATTACTTTCCACCACTAAAAAATTGACATTCATCTTGTTTTGATGCAGCTAAACAATATGTAATACCAGCACTTTTATGTTGAGCTGCGCTACCACATACGGGTTCTTTAGTTTCAATATTCCATACGATAATAGCTCCATCATCTTGACCACCTAAGGATATTAAGAATCTATCTGAACAAGTAAATACAAGATCTTCAATTTTGACTTTGTGTAAAACGAGTCGTGCATAAGGTTCACGAGTAGCATAATCCCAAATAATAATATCAGCCTATTTTATTCGAAAAAAAATATCTATTTTAATAATTGATTGATTAATTGATTAAAAAAACGTATTCTCTTACCTTAAAACCCATATATGTTGCTTGACCTGAAGCAATATATTTTCCATTATTTGATATAGCTACACTTGATATATTATTATTATGTCCGAGAAGGAATTCTTGTTGTCGTGTTTGTAAATTTTCAATAACTAAATTACATCCTATTGGATATACCATATGTGTACGATCTGGGTGAAGTTTAAGACCATGAGGAACTTTTCCTAAAATTTATACATATTAATGATATGGTGATATTGAAAAAAGTTTATAATAAATATTAACCTTCAAAACCAATAGTTGATTCCAATTCAAGTCTTTGTAGAGTATCAAATCGTTCTGGTTGATTATTAGTGGTCGTCATTGTTTTTGTTTGATGATGAATGTATGAAAACGATATATTGTTTCTAGTAGAATTGAATTTGTCACAATGTTGACAACCATTTTTTATGTTCAAGTGCTTAGCAATGACCAAGTATATTAAGATAGTTATTTAAAAGTATTACAAGATGATAATAAAAGATGAAAAATAAATCGATCTTAATCGCTTTGATGCAGAAAATAGTAAATTTTCTTTTGAAATTGTCTATTTTGAGGGCTAGTGACCCCTATTGAAGACTCGATGAAAGTTTTTACTTTATAAAATATCGATACAAGGATATGAAAATCAATCTGAGTGGCAAATGACGTTTGAAACCACCTTGAGAATGTGGGTGGGTGGGTGTGGGTGAGAGTGTGAATCTGAGTGTGTAACTATACCACCTTTATCATTACCCACACCCACACCCACATCCTTAAGACAACTTTTTGAGATGGATTCACCATCTATATTTTTATGAAATAGCCTAGCACATTCTACAGCATACTAATGATTCTCTACATGCGTACATGCGTACATACGTACATGCATACATCTGTTTCTTCATTTTCTTTCCTTTATATTATCAATATGCGTCATACATTTACATATATAGATCGTTCTTTTTTTTTCTTTCCAAGAGTATCCTTTAAATTCTCTTATCTCAGTTTTCCTTTATTTATTGCGCAGTTAAAAAAGAAAATATACATCATCATTTTCTCTGATTTTTAACTCTAATGGTAGGAAATGGATACCGTTCAAGCACTATTAACGGTCTAATGGCTTTGAAAGTGCTAAGATATTCTTTCAATGTTTTTATACATGATGGTAAACGTAAGATTTATCAGATATCTTGAGGATATGTATGTTCTATGAATAAAATATTCACACCCATATTCTTGTTTCGTCTGATTATATATCATTTATTTGATAGAGAATCACAAAATCATACTGATACGTCTTACCAATAAGGTTCAAACTGTATATGGTTATGGGTAAAGATGTGAATGTTTTCTTGATCTTACGTCTGTATTTTCAAGTATTCAAATTATAAAACTGTAAAAGGTGATAATAATTAATGAGTTTTTAATTATCAAAATAATTCGAAACTATTTAATTTTCCAATATTGATAATGTTAGTGCTCAGCGAAAAGATGTAGAATTTGCTAGAACAATCACACATGTTTATCATACTGTAAGCTAAAAAAATATGATAAAAGTGTTTTAAATATTGATACTGTATTTTCTACAACAAAACATAATACAGATGTGTTTCCTAAAGGAATTACGTATTTCCTATCTGATTTTGCAGTTTAGTTCGATGAAAATCATGTTTCTGTTTTATTCAGATAAATATACAATAATATTGATATTGTTACTTTTCATTTCCTTGTTTTATGTTAATGATAAAAGCAAAAACTATCAGTTGCGCATTTAGTTTTGTCTAATATTCTTTGAATATATAAACTGAGATCGTTACTTCTTTTTCTAGTTTAACAATTTTTGCAATTGATCTACGAAACACTACTATCATAATAATAATTAGTTTATATATTTCTAAAATTATTATGATGCACTGGCAATTGTTATATTTTATTATATTATTACCGCTAATAATTATTAAGTCGAATGCATCATTTTTGTATAATACAAATGACAATTCAAAAACAATTTTCGATTGTTTTGATTCGTATATTGTTGATGATCGTTATTCATATGAACACGTTTCATTTCGAGCAAATCATCTGATACCTTATTGTCGACGTCCATTATCAATCGATCGTACTAATAAAATACAAGGATATATAGAAAATACATACACATTTAAGGATTTACGTTTACAAGGAATTACGAGTGAAAATCTTCTTCAATGGTCAATATCGATTGATATTATTGAACAATATTCTATATATCTCATTAAAAAGAATATCGAATTTGATGAATTTGTTTTTAATAATTGTTCATCATTATGGTTTGGTTCGAATTGTCAATATACATTTAATTTAAATATACCTATCGAATCATTTGGGGATTTCGTAAATTCTTCATTTATAGCTCGTAGAGGCTATTACGGAAAAATTTTAATACATACTTGTTATCCTCATTTATCTGGATGTTATCGTGGTCCTGAACCGATGTGTTTAGATTGGCGTGAAATATGTGATGGAAAAGTTGATTGTATTGGAGATAATCTTGGTATAGATGAAGAATATTGTAACGAACTTGAAATAAATGAATGTAAAGAAGATGAATATCGATGTCATAATGGAGCACAATGTATTCCACTCGAATTCTTTCGTGATGATCACCAAAGTAAAGATTGTCTGGATGGAACAGATGAAGCTGAAGATGATAGTTTGGAGGCAATTGCGCTTGATAGACTACGTTTCGACTGTATCGAATCAATGATGTTCGCTTGTGAAGAGAGAACATGTCGTCAACCACATGAATTTTCATGTGGCGATGGAAGTTGTACAAATTATTATACTATTTTTTATCTTTTTGATTTTTACCAACTTGCTTGTCGAGGTACAGGTCGTGCTGCCTACTATCGTCAAGCAATGTATAAATCCGTCAAACAATATTCGAATGATTGTTATCTTTTATTATACTGTAAACTCGGTTTTTATAACGTTCTCCAAAATCATACATACAATATAACACATTGTTTACGTGCAAATTGGTTATCAATAGATTGTCCATTAGAATATCTTTCATTTCCTCGTGAACCTATCTTCTATGGTTATTTTCAACCTACTTATTCAAAAAAACTTTTGATCAATAGTGGTAATGGTGCTGGATGGCCACAATACATCTGTACTGATCCACGATTATGTTTATACTTGCCAAAAACAACAAATCATATCAATGGTTTAGATTGTCGTCTAGCTCCTAGATATGAATTTCATCGTCCGAGTTTGGCACCTCGATTACGAAATGATTCTGAGATGTGTGGATTTATGGGAAATATTATTAAGTATAAATCAAATGCATCTTTATTTTATTGTAAAAAATCTGATAAATATATATCGAAACATCGTCTCATTGATGGTATTCTGGATTGTTATTATGGTGAAGATGAAAGTTATAGCGCTAGTTGTTCATTAAATGATACTCAACGTTTTAATTGTACATCAGAAACAAAATGTTTATCACCTATAGGTATTGGCCTTGATAAACCTCAATGCAAAGATGGAGAAGATGAACACTTTGAAAATCAGGAAATATTCGTATATTCACATCTTTGTAATCATATAAATCAGAATGCACAGTTACCACCAGAAGACGATGGGGAACACGATGAAAACAATTGTGAATGGTGGCCCTGTCATACTCCATACACTCGATGTGATAATGTTTTTCAATGTGCTAATGGTATCGATGAATTAAATTGTCCAAATGTTAATTGTAATATTAATGAAATTAAATGTGAAATCATTAATTCAACTAAAAATTATTATTGTATTCCTCAAGAATATATTTACGAAAAACCAGTCGATTGTATTAATCACGATTTTAATAATATTCTCTATCGAAAAATATTTTATTCGAATAATTTAACATTTAATATTAATAAAGAATATATATCATGGAAAGAAAAGACTTGTTTAACAAAAAATGATATTTGTGGTAATTCATCGACTAATGATCAAAAATTAATATGTAATATTGTTGAAAAAGAAAACATTAGTTTTAACAAAAATTTCTCAATAGATTTGTATTATAATGGAACATCATGTAACCTAGTCGATCATGATTATAATCGTCTCTATTCTGTTTATTACTTTTCTACATGGAATTTGGGATATTTTCCACCAATAATAAATCAAACATCATTATCATCTCAACAATATATCAATAATATCAAGCCAAAAAAACCTCTCGAAATCAAAACTAGTATTGAATTAATTGAATATTGTAATCGTGGAATTGTTATATTTGAAGGAAAATCACTTGAAAAGAAATGTTTATGTCCACCTAATTATTACGGTGATCGATGTCAATGGCAAAATCAACGTATTAGTTTAACATTTCAGATACGACCAGCAGGTTCACATGAAAATAAGTTTTCTATTTATGATATATTTATTTATTTAATTGATGATGAAAATGAAATAATACATAATTATGAAAAAATAAATTATATTTCATCGCTAGATTGTAATACAAAATACAATCGTTATTTACTCTATCCTGATCAACCAAAAAATGTCAATCATACATATTCGATACGTATTGATATTTATGAAAAATCAACATCATTAAATTATTATGGAAGTTGGAATTTATCTATTCCATTTCCATTTTTACCAGTTAATCGTATAGCAACACAACTTCGTATTCCATCAGAAAAAGCTCAATTATCAATAAATTGTTCAATTCAATGTGGAACAAATGGAAAATGTTTTAATTATATTAATTCAACAAAAGAATTTTGTCTTTGTGATCAAGGTTATTCAGGTCGTTTTTGTAATATAACATATCAACATTCTTGTTCATCGGATTCAATGGCGTTAAATTCATCAATTTGTTTATGTCCATTAAATAAATTCGGTTCGAAATGTTATTTACAACATAAATATTGCCAATCGAATAATAATTCATGTCAAAATAATGGCAAATGTATACCTTATAATTACCATACAAATCATGATGAATTTTTTTGTTTATGTCCTGAAAATTTTATGGGATCTCATTGTGAATATCAATCAAATAGAATAAATATTAATTTTAAAATTGATTCAATCCCACCATTAGTTTTTGCTCATTATATTATTTCATATGATGATAAAAAACATGAAAGAATAATAAAGTTTAAAACAATTCCATTTGATCAATATTCAATTGAATTATTTTATACAACTCCATTTAATTTATTATTTATTGAATTTGAAAAGAATTATTATCTTATTGTAGTAAGAGAGAAATCAATTCAATCTGAAAATATTGCTACTAATATAAATCATTATAATAAGTGTGAAAATATAAGTAAACTCTTAAATTCAACAGTACTTAATTATAAAACTCTTCGACGATTGAAATATTATCAATTACCATGTATAGGAAATCTCAAATTAAAATGTTTTTATGATGAGAAATATATGTGTGTTTGTGATAAAAATCGATATTCAAACTGTTTTGAATTTGATCATGTGTCATATGATTGTCAAGGTAATAATTATTGTAATAATGGCTCATGTGTTCAAGATAATTTAATTTGCCCATCAACTTCAGCATGTATATGTAAGAGATGTTATTATGGAAGTAAATGTCAATTTAGTAGCACGGGTTTTAGTACATCACTTGATGTTATTTTTGGATATCATATTAAACCATTTATTTCATTTACAAAACAATCCAGCGCAGTGAAAATAACAGCATCAATAACAATCCTTATGTTAATATTTAG